GCCACGTGTGGGGCACGGCGGGGGCCTCACCTCGTGCGACAGGTAGAAGGCCGCGATGCCCAGGGGCCAGAAACAGCAGAGCATGGAGAAGACGCTGAGGCCCAGGTGGTCCCGCGGGGGCATCATGAGAAAGTTGTCCTCGCTCTCCGTGTCACTGGAGTAGTCGCTCTGCAGGGAGAGACGGGCAGGAGAACGGGGTGAGCGGGGATCCCTCTACGCTGCGCCTGACACAGGAGTCAGCGGGCGCGGGGCAGTCCCTCCCGGCACGGAAGCTCTTACAGGAACAGGAGGGGACACACCCCAAGGGCCGGTTCCGGGGCCGCTCAGGGAAAGTGAAACTACAGACCCTCAGATTTCTGGGACGGAGGGCGGGACAGAGGGGTGAAGGTTCACCCCTCAGAGCAGGGCGGGGGGCACGCACACCTCCTCTCCACTCCAGGACAGCAGACGGGTTCCGGGGATGGGGACGGGACCTGCTCTGAGCCCCCTCCTGCCTTAGACCCCGACCTGAGCTCGGGTGTCGCTGGGCCTGGTCTCAAGCCTGGGTGTCCGGCTCCTCCCTGGGGCTGAGGCGGCCCTGCGGCCAGGTCACCCGCTCGGGGGCCCCACACAGGCCTGCACAGAGCCTGCTGGCAGGTGGGGGACCTGGCACAGGGAGTTTTAAGAAGCAGCTCAGGTGACGCCCACAGTCAGGAGGCCCCGGGCCCCCGGGCACACTTCCCACAGAGGGACCCCAACCCCCGGACAGGACACGCGCGGCTTCTGTCCTAAAAGCGCGGCTGCTCTGGGCGCCCCCGATGCCCCTGGTGGGGGGCACATCTCCCTGACGGGTGCTTCTGACCCCCTCCTCAGCACCGCGCTCACGCTGACCCCCTGGAAACCAGGGCCACTCCGTCTGTGCTGACTGTACCCAGAGGTGGAGTCAGACTTCACTCCAGATTTCGTTTCTGAAAAGAAAAGGAGCATTTCTTCCTGAAAGAAGGTCACTAGCTTCCTGCCTCCCTCTGCTGGCCCCGAGGTGGTCACATGTGGGGCCTCCTGCTGGGGGCTGGGGGCGTCGGGGACGCTCGGGGGACACTGGGCGGCATCTGCCCAGGCAGCCTCAGGGAGAGGCAGTCACCTGAGGGGCCAGGCATCCCCCCGGGGGGGGCATGTGATGGTAACACCTGCGAGGATGCCTGCCCCGCGAGGACCGCCCCCACAGCGCCCCGGCCCCTCCCCCTCCCACACGACAGAGGAAGCCCAAGGTGACTGTGACCCGGAGTCCCTCCTGTTTTGGTTAATTAAATGCACATAAAACTGCCAATCGGAGCCTCTAATCAGCCTGCGGCAGAAGCTTCCAGATGGACTGTTTCTGTCTGGTTGTTTGAGTGAAAACAGGCAAATTCGAAGGGGTTCACTCAAATCACAGACAGCGACCTTCTCCAGGGACCCCGGATGGAAGCGGTGACGCCCTGTCTGTCCAGAGAGCACCTGACCGCCCTCCACACGCACACAGACACACACACACACAGACACACACAGACACACAGACACACACACACAGACACACAGACACACACAGACACAGACACACACACACAGACACACAGACACAGACACACAGAAACACACAGACACACACACACAGACACGCACAGACACACACACACAGACACACAGACACACACACACAGACACAGACACACACAGACACACACACAGACACACAGACACACACACACAGACACACACACAGACACACACACACAGACACACACACACAGACACACAGACACACACACACAGACATGCACACACAGACACGCACACAGACACACACACACACACAGACACAGACACACACACACAGACACGCACACAGACACACACACACAGACACACAGACACACACACACAGACACACACAGACACACAGAAACACACAGACACACACACAGACACGCACACAGACACACACACACAGACACACAGACACACACACACAGACACACAGAAACACACAGACACACACACACAGACACACACACAGACACACACACAGACACACAGACACACACACACACAGACACGCACACACAGACACACACAGACACAGACACACACACACACACAGACACACACACACACACACACAGACACACACCCCTTGAGGGTCCTGGGCTCCAGACCCCTTGCCACGTGCGTGCGTGCCACCGAGTCCAGCCGCACACCAGCCCCACTGGCCTCAGGTGCTTCTTGTCCGGAGACGGGACGTCCTTTCTGCACCGCACACCCTACCCCAGCCTGGGAACCTGACGACGGCTCCCTGACTTGTCTGTGTCACGGTGGCCACGGGGAGGCCGGTGGCCAGAGTGGTCAGTGGCAAGTTTTCCAACCAAAGAGCAGTGTGGTGTGAGTGGTGACCACAGACCACGCAGGGATGGCTGGGCGTCAAGTGACACCACCATGCCTGGGAGGCAAAGGCTGTCCCCAGATCTTCGCAGGTTTTATTCAGTGGTGGAGGGGAACCACATCTGTAAATGGCAAAGGTGTGGCCACGAGGCACCAAGATAATGAGTCAATTTTGATTAAAATAGATTTTAAAATTTCAGATAAATTACAGGGCAGATGAAGCCAGCTCGGCTCCGCGTCTTCCCCCTTCGTGGGTCAGCGGGTGAGGACGTCCGCAGGGCGGAGGCAGGCGGTCCAGAGGCGTTTACAGTTCACAGCTGGAGGAACAGGCCCTACGAGGGGCAGAGCCGGGCAGGGCTGCTCGCCCCCAGGGCCACGACCGCCCCCCCACCCCGGACAGCTGGCTCTCGTCCCCGGGGTCTCTTCCTCGGGAAGACCAGGCGGGAGCCCTCAGCGAGGCTGCAGGAATGCGGGGTCGACCTTGTCACCTGCCCTCTCTCCAGGCATCACCAGCCCTCCAGCTCTTCTGGCCCCAACTCCCTCTTGCCCCCGGCCGCCTCCGCTCGCTGATTCTGGGGAGCATCTCCGTGAGGCCCCAGGGCGGAGGGGGGCCCAGAGACCAGGATGGACGTGGAACTGGGGTTTCCTGCGAGGGGTCCCCTTGCAGGAGCACAGCCTGCAGAGTGCTCCTGACGGCACTGCTCCCAGCAGCGCAGTCTGAGAGGAGCGTGCAAGGAGTCCGCGTGGTCACGGAACCTGATGGTGCAAATGCTGCTTGTCGCCCCGGAAGGACGCTTGTGACAGCCGAGGTACCAGCCGGGGCAGGAAGTGGGAGAACTCAGGCTTCCTCCAGAATGCCGGACATTGAGACGCTTCTGGATGGCAGGCTTCTCAGTGATTTTTTTTCTTGCATTTGTGAGTTTTAGATTTTCCTACAGCGAGCAGGGTGATTTGGTAATGACACTTCTCACGAAGGCGCAGACGTGCTGACCGGTGGGGGCTCCCCAGCCCCATCCTGGCTTCCCTGGGACTGGCTGGGAGACGCTGCATCACGGGCCCAGTGAGCCGCTGGTGGAGCAGGACCGGAACCCAGCACGGCACCCAAGCCCCGCGACGCAGACAGGCCCACCAGGACACTGGGGATCAAGGCCAGCGCCCTCCACCCATGGTGCCCACGCCTGCGTCGGCCAGGGCACCACCACTGCCCACAGAGCGACTGACACAGCCCAGCCAAGATGCTGGCCCTGGCTCTTCAGCCACGCTCCGCCTCCCGGGCTCGGCGCCCGGCACTCAGGGCAGCACGCCGCAGGCACGCAGCTCGTGTGCTGACGGCACGGAGAGTCCCCGTGGGCCTGAGCCCACGCGGGTGGCACCGAGGGGGCGGCGACACCCCAGGGTGTCGGGGTGAGCTGCGCACTTGTGCCGCCTCAGGGAACCGCGCTTTGCTGCGTGCTGGGCTGGGTGACTCAACGTCCCTGAGGAGCTGAGTGACCAGCGGGCTCACTGCCACCACCTGTTCAAGTGAGCACGTTTATGAGCCACGAACCTTCTGAAAGAGACGCTCGGCCAGCGGTCTCCCCCCTGCTCCTTCCAAGCTCATCTCCGAGCCCACGCCATCCTTCCCTGGCTCCCCGTCTCCAGACGCTGACGTCCTGCCCGCCAGGTGGGCTCCAGATGGGGCCGTGACGTGGGCACCGGTCCAGCTGGGACACGGCGGCCGACCTGCTGACAAAGGACAGGGCGGTGCCCCGACAGGAGTTCACGCCTCCCTCCAGACCATGGCCCGAGGCCAGGACGCCGCTGAGGCTCCAGCAGCCATGGGGCCAGGACTCCGCCCGCTTCCTCCGTGCACCTGGATGGGACGCCAGACACGCTTAGACGAAGAAGACGTGTTTAGAGGGTCTCAGGCCAACGTCTTCCCCCACAGGCAGCGTCAGAGGTGAGGGCAGAGCCTGGCTGGAGAGAGGCAGGTGTCTCCAGATGGCCCAGGTGCGGGCAGAGCTGACCAGCCTCGGAGCCGAGACGCCACGGTGAAGCATCTGGAACGGGGGCAGGGCGTCCCCGTGTGCCCCACGCCGGCGGATCGCCTCTGCATGAGGCCACCTCCCCACTCATCCCCTGGGAGACCCGGAAGGGCCAGGGAGTGAGCAGAGCCAGCTGCTGTCCCTCCAGGAGGGGCGGGGCCTGGGGAGGGGCCAGGCTGTGAGGGCCGAGGGCCGTGCTTGGAAGGAGGGCGGGTCTCAGGCCCCCAGAGCTGCAAAGGGCAGTCCAGCTCCAGAGACAGAAAACGTTCCCAGTCAGGCCGAGGGGAAGCGGATTGGAAGCCGCCCGGACCTCTGGTCAGCGGGGCGCTCTGTCCTCCCTGCTCGGGGTGCGGGCTCGGGGCCCAGCGTCGGCCTTGCTGGGGGCTGGCAGACATGCAGACGCCCAGGCCCTGCCCACACAGTGGCCACAGGCTCAGGAGAGACTTCGGGCCGAGGAGTCACTGGGGGGTCTCCCCCATCCTGCATCAGGAGCGACCCCAGCGTCTGCCTGCTACTTACTTGCTGCCTAGAAGGCACAAAACTCTTGTTGTGAAACAAACAAATCACGGGGGTGCCATGGACAGCACAGCAGATGCAGTCGGGAGTATCGTAATGACTTTGGCGACAGGTGGTAAAACTCACTGTGGTCATCATTTCGTTCTGTATAAAAATACCGGATCACTATGTGTACACCTGGAACTCCTGTAACGTTGTAAGTCAACTACACTTCCACTTAAAGAAGAGAAAAGG